TTTTCCGCCCACTGTGAACTTGCTTGAGTTCAAGTCACCCTCAGCTGTTGCATTTACATGAGAAATGGATCATTTGTCACGTCTGTGTTGGGTGGTGCTCCAGCCTCCCCCTCCTGGTTGGAGACCAAGTGAAATCCTGACGTTCCCTGGATTCCCAGGCTGCGGCTGATCAGCAGGTCCCAACGGGAGCCTTAAGGCAAGCCCTGTGGACAGACGAATGTGCTGGCCTTCCTCACTGGGCCAGCCAGGGTGACCTCTTCCCAGCTTCTAAATTCCAAATGCTATTTCCACTCAGAGGCCTGATAGGGTAATAAACAGTCCCAGTTTGCTAGCGACCGAGAATTTTCCCAGGTCTTGGGATTTTTCGTGCTAAATCAGAGAGTCTTGGTCACTGCACGCCCAGCACACTGGGACACAGACAGGGTGAGAACATTCGACATCACCTCAGGTGAGGTAGTTGGAATCTGGACCAGAGAACTGCGTGGACGTTGGGGTCTCATCTTCCTCTGTCAGGCCTGAGACTGAGGATGCATCCTTTCACTGCTCTGGACTTTATTTTGCCTTTAGTCTCTACTGCTAATCCAACAGGATGAAGCTTTATTTTCAGCAATGGATAAGTAAGCAGAGGTACGCAGGCATGTTCTGAGATGAGGTGGGACCGAGGGAGGAATAGCTGGTGTGTGATCCCTTTGAATGAAAGTGCATCAGCCTCAAAGTAGTCTTCCCAACTCAAAAACACATTCAGCATTATTTATATACTTATATACATTGGCAATACAAGCATGTGTCCTGTGTACTTCCAGCCCTCAAAGATTTGACCATCCCGTGGGAGACACTGATTCAAATACAGTGAATTAAATCTGCTACAAGATGCCAAAAACCATGGGAGCTATGGAAGAGAGAATCAGGGTACCTCTACCTACTACATGCCAACTACTGCACATTCATCACCTCATTTAACAGCTAACATTTCTTAAGCACTTATCGTGTGACTAATTCATTTAGTTTTTACAATTCTATTACTAGACCTCTTCAACAAATGAATAAAATGAGGCTCTGAAAAACCAACACTCTTGCTCAAGATTCCATGTCAGTGAATGAAGGGTCCAGGGTTTGAGCCCAGAGAGTCTTGTCTTAAAGTCTTAAGCACTGTCTGAGACTGAGTCTCCTACCCTTGTTGGGTGCTGGACCCCCACCACAGCCAGCATGCTGGGCACTCACCCAACATCAACATCAGACAAAAGCAACATGGCAGGCTCTGGGAGTAGAGCGGTGTGGCTGTGCATGGTGGACGCATGGTGGGGAGAAACCTGAGGCAGGGTCTCTGCATTCTCCATTGTGGAAGCCCAAAGCATGACATCAGGAATGTCCCACTGGAGGTGTGGGAACTCTGGGAATGCTGATGTTCTTAAGGAAACTGGCTGAACAAATGCTGCTCTTCTGGCCCTGAGCTGCATTAGATTATAAAGAATGTACAACTAGGAAGGGGTCAATTAGGAGTTTGGGATTAACAGATACACACTACTGTATATAAAATAGGTAAACAACAATGACCTACTGTGTAGCACAGGGAACTATATTCAATATCTTCTAATAACCTATAATGGAAAAGAATCTGAAAAAGAATATGTATGTATACGTATAACTGAATCACTCTGCTGTACACCTGAAACAAATACAACATTGTAAATCAACTATACTTCAATTTAAAAAAATGAAGAAAAAAAGAATGTACAACTAGAATGGGAAGTCAAATGCCTGACTTCATCATCTTTTGAGGGTCAAAGATGAGTGACAGTCATTGTTTTATATTTCTTAAACTGCATTCATCAAGTCTCAAAAGTTTATCTTTCTTAAACAATCAGAACACCTGAGCAACTTGCTTTGCATCTATCGGGTATGTGACATATGCAAAGCAAAAAAAGTGTGTTGATTTGATATAATATGACTGATTTTAATATGTTCATTGCAACAGTAGGCTTAGAGGTTAGGTATTCCAGCTTCATCAAGTACTAAACGTGCTCATTTCAGTAATAACAATCCACAAGTGCGGTATTCTCAGTGGGCACTGAACTGGGCTAAGATTCCAGATTCTGATGCTATACAATGATTGTCTTAAGAAACATTCTCAATATCTTTTTGTGTTATTTTATAGGTTTTGGTTTGTGTGACATGAATACATAATTTCAGACAATTAAGCTTTAAAAGCATTTGTTACTAATACATAAAACCATTAAAATGAATCTCCCTGTAATTAAACAAAACACAAGGTAGGAAGGATACTGTTTCAAGCAAAATGTAAAGAACTATAAGCTTCTGGGAAGAAAACTGATAACTTTCGTGCTCACTTCCACTATAATAACTCCTACTAATCCGATCATCATTTTTCCCCATGCCCCCCAAGTGGCTCTTATCTAGAATACTGGGTCGTTCCTGAACTTTCTGTGACTCAGACTTTGAGTCAGCTCCTAGCACAGCCAGGAGTTAGAATCCTTGAGGGCCTTCTTCAGTTGTAGAAAATACAGCTGACCTTTGAACAACATGGGGGTAAGGGACCCTGCGCCTCCATGTAGTCAAAAGTCCAAGTATAATTTATAGTCTGGTTCCTCCATACCATGGGTCCACATCCACAGATTCAACTGACCTCGGATGGTGGAGTAATGTAATAATTACTATAGAAAAAAAAACAACCTATGTATAAGTGGATCTGTGCAGTTCAAACCCATGTTGTTCAAGGGTCCACTGTAAACTGAGGGTGTTGTGGTGGCAAAGAAAGGCTTTCTCCACTTGTTATCTGACAAAGCTTTGTCCTACGATGGCCTTCATGCACTCTACCACTTGAGCTATACCCTCCTCCACCAACTTTATCAGTTCTTTCCAGGCTTTTAACTCCCTTGTGCTGTTTGCACAACTTTTTCTTCATGGGGTGGTCATTTACCACAATAGCCTGGATACAAGAAAAACAAGCAAAAAACTCAAGCATGATGTGTTTTAGTGTCTTTCCACACTACTCGTCCAACTGAATTCAGAGACAACTTAGTTCCTGCCGAGAGTTTTCTAGAAAGTGGTTGTGAAAGAAAATGAAGAAATGAACACTTTAGCCAATGACATATCACAATTGAACCCAGCGAGTCTTGCCTTGCTCCAGAACTCTTGAGCGATGCACAGAAAAAATACGTTTGCTGTGTATTCTCATAGCACAGTAACAGATTTCAAACTGAGAACCTCTAAAGGTGATACATAAAATTCATCAACATCTTGTTTGCCAGATGCTATACTGTATTAAACATGTCTTTTAATTTTCATATTTTGACTCTTTAATATCTGGGGCCTTGCTGAACATGGACCGAATGCCCCTCCCAGGGCTAACCAATTTCTAGAGATAGTAAACAACTCATCCTTGAGCTGTTTACTCACCAACCAATACAAACTAACCAGTCCAGAGCCCACTCCCCAAACCACCTTCTCTATGGCCTCTCACACTTAGGGCTAATTACCGCAACGCCAGGTACCAGACAGCTAGGGACAGCCGCTGTGCCCCAGAGCCTGCTGAAATTACTCAAATTAGTCCATTTTTAGCCTTCTTACCCTGCCTCGCCCATTCCTTCCTGGGGAAACCACAATAAAGGCTCTTGCCCATGTGTCCCTGCTCCCTCTGTCTCCTGTGTAGTCTGTGTCCTTCCCTGTGCAGCCCCAGTGGCATGGTGTGCCCTCATCTCTTGGGGTCTGTGGGTAACACAAATCATCTTTTCAGTGGAAGTCATCTCCTAATCTGGTCTTATCACACACTAATATAATAATAATAATAATAATAATAATAATAATAATAATAATAATAATAATAATAAAAACAAAAATAAACCTATACTTAAAAACAGATACATAAAGAGAAAGGAAGACAGGCTAGCAAGAGACCCGTCTGGCCCTTGCACTCGGGCCCTTGTTCAAATGAACTTGGATAAAATTTAGTTGCTCTGTCAGTTATATTTAGCAAAACTGCCACTTTAAACTGTTTCAAAAAAAAACAATAATAGTAAAGTTTTTTAAATCAAACTGTTTCAAGTTTTTTAAATCAAACTGTTTCAAGAAAAAAGCATAATTTGACTATAAAGCACTGTATTCTACTTGATAAGACAGTACTCAATAGAGCTGGCGAGAGAGAGCGGTGATCTGTATTATGATACCATGTGTTACAAAAGATGATGGTGCTTTTAAGGGCCCTTGACTTCTAAAGCACAGATTGAGTCCTATTGTAAAGACAGCTTGTGAAGAAAATTAAAGGACTCCCCATTCACCTAAACAATAATAGTAAAGTTTTTTAAATCAAATGTTCTGGATTCTCATATATCCCATTAAAATTGCATGGCAGATAATAACTGTAAATGGAGTATAGCCTTTAAAAATTGCGAATCACTATATTGTACACCTGTGACTTATATAATATTATACATCGACTATGCTTCTATTAAAAAAATAAAAGGGGAAAAAACCTGCATTGCAGGAGATTCAGGATAAGACGCAAAGTCCCCACGACACTGGATTCTCATCTTGGGCTCACTTCTGTCTCTGTCTCTGCAGTAAAAGCCACTCAAAGGCAGTTTGACTTGAATTTGTATGTCTAGCAACTGCCACCCAGTCGGTGCTAAACATTTATTTAGTGACTGAAGAAATGTTTCTGATCCTCTTTGGATAACAGTGTACATAAGAGATGACGTGAGCACTCACAAGTTGCCCCTTTAAGGGATTAAGTAAATAGGTGACTGCTTTTGGAGCTGAGAATGAAAGCTACTCCCGCTGGTCCAAACCACGATAATCTGAGAGAGAAAGGTAAGAACTCTGTTTGATGGTCGTGGACATCCTGGCATCCCCTGACCTTTAGTTGACCTCTAAATCCTGTCCACTCCTGCAGTCCTCTGGCTAGCAGCTGGGCAAGAGTTTGCATGGGCGTGGCAGTGTTCTGTGACAAGTGGCCGAACTCCCAGGGTGACGGTGACACTTACCAAGGGCTCCAGCTCCTTGCGGTCTATGAGGTTCATCTCCGTGACGAAGTAATAGAAGTGTTTGTAGCAGGTGTTGACATGGGCCTCCGCGCCCATCACGATGACCCGGTCGAAGTGGTGGATGTAGACGTGGACGAAGACCCGGAAGAGGCGGCACAGAATCTTCTTGCAGATCTGCAGGAAGTTCTTGGGGAAGGGAACACCTAGAGAGGGGGAAAAGGGAACAGAGCCATGATGGGGAAGCTCTGGCAGGCCCCGGAGCACGTGTGAGGCTGCAGAACAGCCCTGGAGCCGGGCTTCCAGGCCAGCGTGCAGGGGCCCGGCTCTATGGGGTCAGCCGCATCAGACACTGTCTGAAAAAGTGGCAACCAGGAAGAGACCAAAAAAATCAGAGAACAGGGCCAGGTTTGTTTCTTTGGTTTTATCTTCTTTTGTGTGTGCAAAAAAAGTGTAGAAATATTAATTTTTACCTAGAAACACACACTCTCCCTTCTTGCTTTTTAATTTTTCCCACTTTGTAGAGCACAAGAAGGTTCATATTCCTCTTATTGCTAATGTAAGAAAACCGGTAGAGGGAGTGATGCTCTAGGGAGACTGGCACTTCCTGACACAGGGTAATGGGGAATGGTGGGGACTGGAGCAAATTAGAAAGCCCTCTCTCATCAAAGGAAGCAGTCGCTGCACACCTCCCACCAATGGTGGCCATAATGGGACAGAGGACTGGGACTGTTGGATCTTCTGGTTTTCAAGATGATTCAGATGATTCTGGAGTTCTACGTGAACCACCTGGACTTCTACTTTTCAAATGTTAGCAATTAACCTGAAGTTAAAAAAAAAAATACCGCAGGTCAAAACAAAACATCTTCCTAGGTTAATTCAGCCTGCAGACCACCAGTTGGCAAATTCTGATCTAACCTTTTTCTGGGAGGCACCTGCTTCTGAGCTGGGTGAATGCAACAAAACTTCATGGAAACTTCGGGAACTTACCACTTCATCTCCTTGAGGAAGGTAAGATTTGGGGGTTGTTATTCATAACACAGCCTGGGTGAGGGGTCAGAGGGATCACCCAGGTCTCCTGTCTGATGACTACTACTCTCAGCTTAGTCTGAGCAACAAATAGAATGTCAAGCTACTTTCTTTCTCCCTCTCAAACACTGTTTAAGCTCTTGTCGGTTACACGGTCCTTAAGCAGGGACGTTGTAATGGATTCTGAAGTGAAACAGACTTTGAGTTCCTTTTCTGCTCCCTTTCCAGCTGTACCACCATGGGCAAGTTATTTTACCCCTCTGAGCTTCAGTTTTTCTGTATGTACAATGCCGATAAAAATGCCAGTTATTGTGAGGATTAGAAGTGGTACCTGTGTGACTTTGGGGTTTTTTTTTTTTGGTCATTTAAAGTGGGGTCATAATAAGGCCTTTCTTTGCACGGCCAGGAGGGTGTCAACAGGACTACAATCCTCCTACAGTGCCTGGAACAGAGTCAGAGCTTGCTAACTGGGAATGACCCCTCTTCTTTCTGCTTCGTAAGGTCTGGAGCATCAAACTGTTGTTAGAAGAGGAGTAATTACCCTTATCAAGAAAAGGTAGACGTGACCACCAGTCTTTCATCAGAATTGCAGGGCTGTGCTCAGGGCGTGTCTCTGGTCCCCAGGAAGCCTGCAGTTTTGCTGTCCATGCCTCCCCAGGGTCCCAGTGGCAGCTGTCTGGTGAGAGACTGTAATGGGATCACCTGGGATCCCCAGAGCAGGATGAGGGAGACAGAACACAGCTGGCAGTTGGCAGAGGCAAATCTGCCTCCCTGGGGCCCAGCACTGATACTGGCTTTTCTTCCAAAACAAAGTGGCAACGTATCAAATGAAGCCAGGGAGAGACTCGGGCACAGCTTGGCAGCTGACTGTCTAGGCAACAGATGCTGGGTTTGGAGGTGGGGTGAGGTAAAGCTGGGAGAAGGTGGACAGCCCCTCACAGAGCTGATGGGCGGTTTTCTCTGCTGTCAGTGAGGGACAATGAAAACCACTGCTGCCAGGCTGGGAGAGGGTCTGGAGTTTCTATAGAAGCCTGAGATCCAGAGGTGATGGAATTCCCCATTATCCACATCTAAGTGTGCTCCCATCAGAAGGGGAGTCCTGTGACAACCACATGGTGACATCAGGGGTTGACATTCTTTACCTTCGCCAGCTATCTGTGACGTAGGTTGTAAGAGTCCTATACCCCAGATGAATAACAAACACCAGGGCTCTGAAGCTTGGATTAACTTGCTCTAGGCCACTTGGGTAACCAGTGGCAGGGCTGGATTTGGACCAAGTCAGCCTAACTTTAAAATCCAACAGATCTGGTTATGTTTGGAGTGTGACTCTCTCTCTCTGCCAAGAATAAAGGCACAGCTGAATTGCTGAATGCAACAAGGAAATCTAAAGGTTACTCTTTGGTGGCACAGAAATATATTTTAAAAAGAGGAAAGGGGTGAGGAAAGAAGGGTGAAAAAGGTTCACACCCTCGGGAATCACAGATCCGAGGTGTTGAGAGGTCAGTTAATACTCTGTGGCTTCAAGGAGAGATGTGTTTTCTCTGCCAGTGCCTTAGACCATGGATCTGGGACTAAGAGTCCAAGTTAGAATTTACTGAACACTCACCAAGTTGTAGGGACTGGGTTAGCTGATTGAGTCCTCAAAATAACCCTTGAAGACAGGTACTGTTGTTTCCATCTCACAAATGAGGACACAGACTCAAAAAATTAAGTAGCTGCCCCAGGTCATGCAGCTGGCAAATAGTGGACGGATTTGGACCCAGGATTGTCTAACTTCAAAGCCTATGAGTATGCAGCATCCTGAACTCTGGAGATGCTGCTGTGGGGCTCTGCACACACCTCCCAGCCCTTCCTTCCTGGGTGGCCTGAATCCCTCAGGTGCACTTACCTTTCATGTCACAAGCCGCTAGGGGAGAGGCGGTTGGTGGGGGGAGTGGGGGGTGCAGCTGTGCCAGTTCATCTGCTTGACCTTTTAAGCCAGCCCCCATGCCAGCCCCTACACCCCACACAGACTGAAGGTAAGGTGAGACCTGGGACACACCGAGGGTGTTCATGGCACTTGTAGGGTCCCTCTAGAGTGTCCCCAAGCTGCATTGCCCACCCCACCCCCAAATCCCTTTGTCTGATCAGCTCTGAGCTCTCAGCTCTGGCCTCCATTCCACACCTGGTTTCTGGCCTTGCCTTTGGGCCTTGCACTTGGTTTGCTCTTGCCTCTCCTTTTCGGCTATGGCTGGGAATGATCTTTAGAATAGCTGAGAGGAGCTGATTTTAGAGTCAGGAAGGCCTAGTTTAAAATCCTGGCCTGATAACTTCCTAACTTTATGGGCAAGTTACTTCATTATAAAATAGATACAAGCATTTCCTTTGTAGTGTTCCCTTCATAGTGTCTGTAATGTGGCTGGCATCTAGTGAGGACCCTGAGATAAAGTTCTCTTTTTGTTATTTCCCACCTGAATTCCTTGGGTAGGTAAGACCCCAGGCTCGTATCTCTTGGCTCTGGCTACTAAGTTGGCCCTGACTCTGCCACTATTCCTTCCCTTACATGTAATTCATTATTCAAAAGTGAACACTGCAAATGGCTCAAGTCTCAGCTCATGCTCAGCGTGCACCATAGTCACCCCAGGCCAACCCAGGAAGCTGAGAAGTCCTAGGCTGGACTCATAAGGAGCCTAAGAACCCCAGTGGGTTCTCTGCTAAGCCAGAGATAAAATCCCAGCTCACAGAGTGTGAGGTTAAGAATAAGAAAGCTACATAGGGAATGTAATTTGGTGTAGCCACTATGGAAAACAGTAAGCAGATTCCTTGGAAAACTAAAAATAGAGTTAGCACATGATCCAGCAATCCCACTCCTGGGAAAATATCCAGAGAAAACTCCAATTTGAAAAGATCCATGCACCCCAATGTTCATAGCAGCACTATTTACAATAGCCAAGACATGGAAGCAACATAAATGTCCATCAACAGATAACTGGATAAAGAAGTTATACAATGGAATACCATTCAGCCATAAAAAAAGAATGAAACAATGCCATTTGCAGCAACATGGATGGATCTAGAAATTACCATATTAAGTGAAGTAAGTCAGACAGAGGAAGACAAATACTATATGACATTACTTTTATGTGGAATCTAAAAAAAATGACTCAAATGAACTTATGTACACAACAGAAACAGATTCACAGACAGAAAATAAACTTACGGTTATCAAAGGGAAAAGGAGCCGGGGAGGGATAAATTAGGGGTTTGGGAATGGCAGATATTGACTACTATACATAAAATAGATAAACAACAAGGTCTTACTGTATAGCGCAGGGAACTATATTCAATATCTTGTAATAACCTATAATGAAAAAGAATATGAAAAGGAATACATATATATATATATATATACATATATAACTGAATCACTATGTTGCACACCAGAAACTAACACAACATAGTAAATCAACTATAATTCAATTAAAAAAGGAAAGCTACAAGGCATTTGGAAAATTCATTCAATATTATTGTTGGTGCAGGGGCTCATTCTACAGTCTGTATAGTAGCTTAGCCCTTTTCTCCCTTTCTCTTCTGCCTTCCAGGTGTTCAGATTTGTGTGTGTGTGTGTGTGTGTGTAAGTGTCTATCTGTGCATGTATGTGCATGTTTCAAATAAACCTTCAGGAGGTGGGAGGTAGAAGAGATCACCCCTCTGCAGGTAGAGACCTGGATGTCCAGCTGTGCCCCGGGACTCAGGCCAGCAGGAAAGGGTAAGACGCCGCCCTGCTGAGCCACTCTTTTTCTCACAGGCTCTGGAGGGACCATGAACATTGATTTTACCTGAGGGGTTTTTGTCTTCATCACACTGCTAAGAATTATCTAGTCTCTATGAAATACCCACAGAAAAGTGAGCTCTGAGTGAGGCTGGATGTGTGTATGCGTGATGGCATTTAGTCCCAGTGAAACTCTGAGCAGTGATATTATTTCAGCTTTGGGGAAAAAAAAAGTAACTGTGGCTTAGCTCATTTAAAGTGTTTGCCTGGCCCCACGGCTAAAGGGAGGTGGAGGAGAGATCTAGTTCAGAAACTCAGGCTCTTTCTTTCCTGCTATTACAGTTCCACGGCGCAGGGAACCTCTCTGTTCAGGTGATCATTTTTTGACCTGCACTTAGCTCAGTACCTGGCTTGTAGAAGGAGCTC